TGCAAAGACTCGGACACAACTGAGTGGCTTTTACTTTCACCTTGTTTTTACAGCTATATTCTGGGTTTTTTCCGTAGCTCTGTGTTCAGGTTCAAGGATATTTTTCCTCTGCTGTGTTGAATCTTTTGTTTAACCTATCCAGTGAGTCCTTAATTGCAGTGCCTTTTTATTTGTTTGTTTATAGGAGTTGTATTTGAAAATTTATCAAATGTGTTTTCTTTTTTTAACATCAAATTTGTATTCTGTCAAATAAAATTTTATTAAAAAAACTTTTGGTTGTTCTACCTGGTTATTTATCAAATTTGTCTGTCCATAATGCTCTATTCTTTCATTATAGTTCCTAATTTTAAAAATCTTTTAAATAACCTTAAACCCTTATTTTAGGTGCCCTTCATTTTCAGTTCTTTTATTTCCCATTTTTTGCAATGCGAATTTACTGGCTGGTTACATCTGCCGGTATCTTCTCCAGATAGTTAATTTCCTTGTGAGATTTGTGTCTCTGTAACTGTGAACCACCCTGAACTAGTCTTCAACCTATGTACCCTGCACTGTGACAGTATCCTTATAGAGTAGTGTTTGCAATTGTTTCTGTTGCCTTCCTAGAGAATCAACATTGAAGGGCCAGTTTTATCACTTACTTCCCTGACTGGAATTCCTGTAGAGTGCAGGGCAAATTCAGATCCTACACCTTCTCAAGTAGTGGTTCTGAGGGTTTGACTTTTCCTCACAGGTGTGTGGTTTTTTTCAGGGTGTCCTTGGAAGGTTGAAGTAAGCTTTCTAATGCCTTTTTGATGGAAAAGCAACACTTTTAGGCTTCAAACTTCATGCAGGGAGCGAATGTCCAGCTCTCCTGCTTTACACAGGCCCAAGGTCATGTCTAATAAGGGAGGTGGTGGTGGACATTAGAAGACCAGCCCAGCTCTGAGGACCAGTGTTCAGGCTGAGAACCCCCAGGGTGTCCATGGCATCTGCACCCATGAACCCATAAGGCTTTGAATCATGTGCTTGCTTCTGGCTCCCACAGATTTGCCTTTCTTTCTCTAAAACTAAATATGAATTAAAATGTTTACCTTTGTCACATTTTATCCTATCTTGAACTTGAGTGATTCTTGATTTATCTTCAAGATAAACTTGAGTTTATCTTCCGGTTTTCTTATCAAAAGTTTTCAAACAGGGTTCTCTGAGCTGTGAGGGAGAAGAAAAAATGACAGGGTTGTTGACACCTTCACCACTTGAAACCCTTACCTCTTCTTGCTTTAAACAGGCAGCTCTTCTTGTACGCTGCTCTATGACAGCCTTGCAGTGTGACCCTGGCAAACAGTTAGCTGTTCTGTGCCTGTTTCTCCATCTGTAAAAAGGGAACAATTACAGTGCTGCTTCACTTGGCTGTTGTGAAGATTAAATGAGGTAATATACATGAAGCAGTTGTGTCACTGCCTGGTTCAAAATAAGCACTCAGCAAGTGGTCTTTGTTAATTATTGAGCTCCAAGTTACATTTCTTTTTAAAAATGATTCTGAACTAAACAAACAAACAAAAAAAACCAGAGTATTTTTAGAGCTAAATGGGGCTTTCAAAACTATCCATATACATTCTAGACTGGGTACTTTCTAAAAGATCTTTTAGTTTGAAAATTCTTTACTTCTATATCAACACTATAGTAGGAAGGTTAGTTTTAGCCAAGCTCAGAAACCTAGCAGGGTGGGCATAAAGATCTCTATTGTTTATGATGACTTTCTTCCAGCCCCCTGACATTCCTTCAACCCCACTTCCCATCCCTAGCTATTCTATTTTAATGGTTCACAATGAACTTTTTGTAACAGTTGCACAAGCTTCCTTCTGAGTAGAGTCAGCTTTGCTTCACAGTTTTTAAATGTTGTGTCACCTATCCCTAGAATTTTTGCTAAAATCACCTAACTATAAAGAAATTCCATTTAATGATCTCTCTCTGATCTTTACGTATATGGTAATCCCTACTACATTTCCTATGAAAGTGGGGACCATGTAGTCTCAAGGAATAGATAGGGTTAAGAGAAGGGCTTCGCTTTGTTTGATGAGAGAAGGTGAAATTAGGAGGGGTACTTTCATTCCTGCTCTGATCTACTCAGCGATTGTTCAGCTCAGTTCCACATTCATGAGTCAGTAACAGCTTTTTTTACTTGGGAGCGTGACTACATTATGAACCAGTGAGATGACGAGTCAGGGCTGAGCCAAAAGCAATGAGGGTTGATGGTCTCCCACCACATCCCAGAGGAAAGTGCAGAAAGCAGTGGTTCTGTGGCCTAAGTCAGGGGTAAGAACTTCACCATCTTCAGTGACAAGGTAGGTCCAGGGAAGAGACAGGAAACCAGAGTGTGCCAGCTCCTCTGCAGGTTGCTCATATTCATACAATATCTGCCTACCACATAACATCTGCCTACCACCTGACTGTACCTTCCTGGTCTCTTCTGAAGGTCCAAGCCCCTCAAGATCAATAGTCTTTTTAATTGTGAATAGGTTGTTTTAATGCTACTAAGAATTTGGAGCTATGGTCACAATTGAGGCTATGACTTAGGTAACAGTTGATGGGTACAGTTGGTATAAAACATCCGGAGATACTTAGGGCATGCTGTCAAATGTCCAGTGGAAGTAGTGAGAATATTAAGCCAGGTGCACCTAATCTCTTAATGCTCCTGTGGTTTGAGGATACAATGTGTTGAGAGTAGGACAGGGGTCTTAGTAATAGAAGGTTGTGATTATGTGAACTCAGACAGGAAACTGATCATATCAGTTTACCATGGAGTATCTCAGCTTACAGTCTCAGCAGTAAGTGTGACATTCTAAAACTTAGAGAGGGTGGTCAGAGCCAGTCCTGGGATGTTGTAGATATCATGTCAAAGGCAGGACAGCAGGAAAAGTGGGGGCTCTTTCTTTCCAGCCTTTTAAACAGCCAAAGCCTGACACTCCTTTCAGATGGTCAATAGCTGCCTCATTGCCAAATAAATCAGGGCCTCCTTGGTCAAAAGCAAGGCTATGATTCCATCACTGTGAGTTATCTTATACATACGATGTGAGGTAAGGACTCAAATTCATTCTTCTTCATGTGGCCATACAGTTCTCCCGGCACCATTTGCTGAAAGAGTATTCTTTCCTCCATTGATTTGGTATCTTTGTGGAAAATCAATTGATCATAGGTACATGGATTTATTTCTAGACTCTCAATTTTATTATGATGATTTATCTGTAGATAGCACCAAACTGTCTTGATTTCCACTGCTTTATAATAACTTTTGAATATTTATTTTCAAGGCTATTTTGACTATTCTGGGTCCCTAAATCTCCATTTGAACTTCAGTATCAGCTAGTCAATTCTTTTTTAAAAAAGGAAGCTGCTGAGATTTTGGTAGGGATTGTATTGAGTCTGCAGATTAATTTGGGGTATTGTCATTTTAACAATATTACATCTTCCAAATCCATGAACATGAGATGTTTTTCCATTTATTTTTCTCTTTAATTTCTCCAAACAATGTCTTATAGTTTCCAGAGTGAAGTTTTGCACTTCTTTTGTTAAATATATTTCTATGTGTTTTGTTATTATTGGTGCTTTGGCAAATTAAGTTGTTTTCTTATTTTCATCTTTGGATTGTTCATTGCTAGTGTATTGAAAACAACTGATTTTTAAAAAAAAATTTATTTACTTTCTATTGAGGGATAATTGCTTTACGGAATTTTGTTGTTTTCTGTCAAACTTCAACATGAATCAGCCAGAGGTATACATATATCCCCTCCCTTTTGAACCTCCCTCCCATCTCCCTCCCCATCCAACCCCTCTAGGTTGATACAGAGCCCCTATTGGAGTTTCCTGAGCCATACATCAAATTCCCGTTAGCTATCTATTTTACTTATGGTAATGTGAGTTTCCATGTTACTCTTTCATATATCTCACCCTCTCCCATGTCCATAGTCTATTCTCTATGTCTGTTTCTCCATTGCTGCCCTGTAAATAAATTCCTCAATACTATTTTTCTAGATTCCGTGTATATGCATTAGAATATGATATTTATCTTTCTCTTTCTGACTTACTTCACTCTGTATAATAGGTTCTAGGTCCACCCACCTCATTAGAACTGACTCAAATGTGTTCCTTTTTATGACTGAGTAATAATCCATTGTGTATATGTACCACATTTCTTTATTCAATCATGTGTCAATGGACATCTAGGTTGCTTCCATGTTCTAGCTATTGTAAATAGTGCCGCAATGAACAATGGAATATATGTGTCTTTTTCAATTTTGGTTTCTTCAGGGTACATGCCTAGGAGTGGGATTGCTGGGTCATATTGTGGTTTTATTCTTAAGAAAACAACTGATTTTTGTATACTGTTCTTTTATTCTGCAAACTTACTAAACTTGTCTATCAGTTCTAATAGTTTTTATTTTTAAATGAGACTCCTTATGATTTTCCACTTAGAAGTTTATGTTACCTGGGACTAGGTATAGTTTTATTTCCTTTCCAACCTGAATGCCTTTTATCTGTTTTTGGCCCCAATTTCCTTTAAATCTTCTGACCTTTCGACTTCACTCATCACCTGGGGGTGAAATAGTCCAGTGTTAGGTCTGTATCCTCAGGTGCCCTCTCGCTTACTGCTGTCCCTCTCAGTCTGGGCTGTAGCCTCTGGCCTTGAAGGCGAGTGGGCTAATAGCTCAGGTGAGAGCAGGGAGGAGAAGGCGGCAGAGAGGACGCGGGCGCCTGGGTCCGTCCGCTCCTGGGACCTGACTGCCCGGCAGAAGCGGGGCCGGCAGCGCCTGTTGGCGCGCACCCCGACTATTGCAGCCCAGCGGCTCGGGAGCCCAAAGGGGGTGTGGACCACAGGGAGGCAGGGCGGGGGCAGCGCGCTGGGCGCCGGGCTCCGCTGGGCAGCGCGTCCCCGCCCGGCGTCCACGAGCAACGACCCGCCCCGGGACCCACCTCTCGGCCAGCGTCGGGAGCCAGAGGCCCCTTCCCGGGCCCCTGAGACCAGTTCATGAATCCTGGTCCTCGTCTGGGGTCTCGAATTCCAAGGCGAGCAAAGCGAAATAGGAGAGCTCGACATCCATGATGCGGGCTCGCCGGGTGGCTGCGCGGGGGGCGCGGCTGCTCGCTGCTGCCACCTGCTGGACGCGCCGGCGCGCGTCCAGGCCCCGCCCCGCCCAGGCTTCTCTCTGGGTCCTGGGCTGTGAAGGGGAATGGATGGGCCCCTGTGTCCTGGGGCGGATGAGGGGGTGCTTGAACGCTGCTTCCCTCCCTCGATATTCGGGTCTAAGAACTAGACAATGACAGGAAAATAGACCCTCCATGAGAGGGGCTGTGAAGAAAGGATTGGCTTTGAAGGAAGACAGTGTTCACTTCCAACTCTGCTTCTAACCAGCTGGGTGTAGTCTGGTCTTTGAGCAGGTCGCTGCTGGCTTTGCCTGGTGTTCCTCAAGTGTAGAAGTGGGGGCTGGACAAGTGAATAAGAGATTAGGGGTTCCTCCAGTCTCCTAACTCTGTTCCTACCTCCCCCTTCATACCCCTTATCACTGACTCATTTGTTACAATTATTTATCATCTCTCTTTCCCATGAAAATGTTAACTCCATGAAAGAATGGATGTATTTGCTGACTTTACCACTGTACTTACTTTCCCTCCGGAACTTGTATCAGTGAAGGCCTGCCCCACAGTTGGTGCTTAATCAGTATTTGTTTAATGAAGCCTCCAGGTCATCGTCAATATTTCTTCCACTCAAGGTTCTATAAGTGTTGGTTGCATTATTCTTTGCCAAAACATTAATTAGGACAACTTTATGGTGTCCTAGTCAAGAGCCTAGCTCTGTATTCAGCCTGCCAGGTTCTGAGTCATGGCTCTATCACTTGCCAGATGTGCGACCTTTGGAAATTTACTCAGCCTCCCAGGCTTTCAAATTCTTCATCTGTAGATCAAGATAATGATTGTAACTACCTGATTGTATGGTGTGGTATGTTAAACAAGCAAACTAATTAAAAAAATTAGTATAGTGCATCCATATGAAGCCCTCAATGTATGTTAGCTATCATATCATTGTTTACTTAGACTAATGCGTGTGACAAATCCACCATCTAGCTTTGTCTTCTGGCAGGCCTGCTAGACCTTTGCCTCATCCATTGCTGTCTGCACTTTCCTGCCTGGGAATGTGTGGTGAGCTCTGCTGCCATGGGGATTTCAGGGTGTGGTCCTTCCCCTGGGCCAATCACAACGTTGTTAAATGAGGCTGGCCCGTGTCCTTGTTTCCATTTCCTTGCAGAATAGTACTCAGACAGGGACCAAGCAGAGGGGAGCAGGTTATGGTTGCTTCCCTTCTCAGATTCCAGCCACTTTCTTGAAATGGCAGTAAGAATCTAACCCTGCCTCTTTATGTCACAGTCTGTGAGGATCTGACTGAAAGTGCTTTCAAAGCAGCGTAAATTCACATACAAAGGTGACATGGTCCTGAGTCCTTTCTCTGTATTCCAGGCTGAGACTAACTTCCTTCTCTAGGACTAAACATTTTCCCCAGTTGGGTGAGCTCAGCTTAATGAACACACCTAGTGCTTCCCAGCACCTCACAACTAACAAAATGCTTCCCAGGATCTTTCTGATTTTCTCCTCCCAACCACTCTGTAAAGCCCACAAGGCAGGGATTATATCTGAAAGCCCAGGAGCCCCACCCTTGGATGGTCAGCTCAGCCTCCCTCCGAGGCAGGGGGAGCTCCACATTTGAATGTGTGGACCTCTTTGTCTATGGCACTTTTCATCTTACCTAGCTGGCTGTGATGAATTAGGCTGTTGAAACCTGGACAATTGAAAAACCCCAAATAACTTCTAATGGGAAAACAATCTTCTTCTCCCTAAATAATTATGAGGACATGAAGAAAGGGGTCAACAGAAATAAGATGCTTCAACCCCCATGAGGACATCCATATCAGTTGGTGGCCACTGGGAAGGGGCAAGATGAAGCCTGTGCTGGGAGGCTTGGCTGGAAAAGTTGTCAGAAAACTTGTATCTTGGCTTATTCCTTTCAAGGGAATGAAACTGAGACCTGGGAGCAGAGGATCCTTTTGTTTAGAAGTTTGTTTTGATTCCAGGAAGGGTGAGAACAATTCTTACCCGGAAACAAGGAATTATTCCTAGATGGTGGAAAACCACCTGGAGAAATCTTTGGCACACACTTCTTCTACCTTCAGCAAGGGAAAACAGGAAATCTCTCTCAACCAGCTTCACCCACGGCCATCACCTCCCCCTTCATGACTGCTGCCTGGGCTGCCCTCTCTAAGGTTCTCTACTCCTTGGAGAGCTCCTATCATTCCTATTTGAGAGGTGGGGTCCAGTGAGAGTCAGGTGCAACAGGCCAAGTCAGAGTTGTCACCCTCACAATAAGGGATGATTCCAGTATTGAGAGTGAAGCAGTAAGCAAACTGATGTATAGGATATTATCCTATTTAGGAACATTTATACATAATGTGTATATATAACACATGTATATATAATATTTCTTACAGAAATGGGATCATTTATACAAGTGTCTGGAATGCAGAGTCAGAGGTCTGGAAGGGTGCTCAAAATCACCAGTGAAAGGGCAACCCACTCCAATATTCTTGCCTTGCGAATCCCATGGACAGAGGAGCCTGGCAGACTACAGTCCATAGGGTCACAAAGAGTCAGACAAGACTGAAGTAACTTAGCATGTGTGCATGCCTCCAGAGAGGGGACTGAGCTTTGGTAAGGGATGAATTGGTTTAAAGGGGACTCACATTTTTACTTCATGTATAGTTTGAACTTGCCCATGCATGTATTACTACTGTAATGATGCCATTTTAGCAGATTGCTCAGTTTTCCTGTAGGATGATACTTACCTGACTCCCCGCACCTTGCAGGCACTCCCTCTTGCCCTGCTCCTTTATAAACACCTCTGAAACTTCCCTCTGTACTGTCTGCCTTTCAGTTATTGCTCTCCCTGAATCCTCCCAAATATGCTGGAAATTCTTCTCTCATGTCATCCCTATTCTCATATCCTTTTCTACCCATCTTGGCCTCCTCATCCAGCCTGACTCTGAGGCACGCATTTTGGTGACTCTCTCCAGCCACTTATTTTTTCAGCCCAGTGTTTCCCTGCCAGGCCTGCTTTGCCAGCTGGGAACTGCCTGCTGTCCCTGCTTTGTTTTGAAGTTACTGGAAGGAAGACATAAGCTCTGATGTCTAGAACCCTGCAAACTCCTAATAGCCAGCCCACCCCACCTCTCACTGTGCCAGCAGTCCTCTTACTGCTTTCTAATCAGTTTCTTTTTTTTGTGTGTGTGAATTGTTTAATTGGAGGCTAATTACTTTACAATATTGTAGTGGTTTTTGCCATACATTCACATGAATCAGCCATGGATGTACATGTGTCCCCCATCATGAAACCCCCCTCCCACGTCCCTCCCCATCCCATCCCTCAGGGTTATCCCAGTGCACCAGCCCTGAGTGCCCTGTCTCATGCATCGAACCTGGACTGGCGATCTATTTCACTTATGGTAATATACTACAGTGGAAGTGAGAAATAGATATAAGGGACTAGATCTGATAGACAGAGTGCCTGATGAACTATGGATGGAGGTTCGTGACATTGTACAGGAGACAGGGATCAAGACCATCCCCATGGAAAAGAAATGCAAAAAGGCAAAATGGTTGTCTGAGGAGGCCTTACAAATAGCTGTGAAAAGAAGAGAAGCAAAAAGCAAAGGAGAAAAGGAAAGATATTCCCATTTGAATGCAGAGTTCCAAAGAATAGCAAGGAGAGATAAGAAAGCCTTCCTTAGCGATCGATGCAAAGAAATAGAGGAAAACAACAGAATGGGAAAGACTGGAGATCTCTTCAAGAAAATTAGAGATAACCCTATATGCAAAATAGAAAAAGAGACACAGATGTACAGAACAGACTTTTAGACTCTGTGGGAGAAGGTGAGGGTGGTATGTTCTGAGAGAATAGCATTGAAACAAGTATACTATCAAGGGTGAAACAGATCACCAGCCCAGGTTGGACGCATGAGACAAGTGCTCAGGGCTGGTTCACTGGGAAGACCCAGAGGGATGGGATGGAGAGGGAGGCGGGAGGGGGGATCGGGATGGGAAATATGTAAATCCATGGCTGATTCATGTCAATGTATGGCAAAAACCACTACAATATTGTAAAGTAATTAGCCCCCAACTAATAAAAATAAATGTAAAAAAAAAATAAAACACAATGGGAAAGCACAGAAAAAGAAAAGAAAAGAAAATTAGAGATACCAAAGGAACATTTCATGCAAAGATGGGTTTGATAAAGGACAGAAATGGTAGGGACCTAACAGAAGCAGAAGATACTAAGAAGAGGTGGCAAGAATACACAGAAGAACTGTACAAAAAAGATCTTCATAACCCAGATAATCACGATGGTGTGATCACTCACCTAGAGTCAGACATCCTGGAATGTGAAGTCAGGTGGGCCTTAGAAAGCATCACTAGGAACAAAGCTAATGGAGGTGATGGAATTCCAGTTGAGCTATTCCAAATCCTGAAAGATGATGCTGTGAAAGTGCTGCACTCAATATGCCAGCAAATTTGGAAAACTCAGCAGTGGGCACAGGACTGGAAAAGGTCAGTTTTCATTCCAATCCCAAAGAAAGGCAATGCCAAAGAATGCTCAAACTACTGCACAATTGCACTCATCTCACACGCTGGTAAAGTAATGTTCAAAATTCTCCAAGCCAGGCTTCAGCCATACGTGAACCGTGAACTTCCAGATGTTCAAGCTGGTTTTAGAAAAGGCAGAGGAACCAGAGATCAAATTGCCAACATCTGCTGGATCATCGAAAAAGCAAGAGAGTTCCAGAAAAACATCTATTTCTGCTTTATTGACTATGCCAAAGCCTTTGACTGTGTGGATCACAATAAACTGTGGAAAATTCTGAAAGAGATGGGAATACCAGACCACCTGACCCACCTCTTGAGAAATCTATATGCAGGTCAGGAAGCAACAGTTAGAACTGGACATGGACCAACAGACTGGTTCCAAATAGGAAAAGGAGTACGTCAAGGCTGTATATTGTTACCCTGCTTATTTAACTTATATGCAGAGTACATCATGAGAAATGCTGGGCTGGAAGAAGCACAAGCTGGTATCAAGATTTCCGGGAGAAATATCAATAACCTCAGATATGCAGATGACATATGTCATATGCCATATTCCCTTATGGCAGAAAGTGTAGAGGAACTAAAAAGCCTCTTGATGAAAGTGAAAGAGGAGAGTGAAAAAGTTGGCTTAAAGCTCAACATTCAGAAAACTAAGATCATGGCATCTGGTCCCATCACTTCATGGGAAATAGATGGGGAAACAGTGGAAATAGTGTCAAACTTTATTTTTTTGGGCTCCAAAATCACTGCAGGTGGTGACTGCAGCCATGAAATTCAAAGACGCTTACTCCTTGGAAGGAAAGTTATGACCAACCTAGATAGCATATTAAAAAGCAGAGACATTACTTTGCCAACAAAGGTCCATCTAGTCAAGGCTATGGTTTTTCCAGTGTATATATGGATGTGACAGTTCGGCTGTGAAGAAAGCTGAGCACCAAAAAATTAATGCTTTCGAACTGTGGTGTTGGAGAAGACTCTTGAGAGTCCCTTGGACTGCAAGGCGAGCCAACCAGTCCATCCTAAAGGAGATCAGTCCTGAGTGTTCATTGGAAGGACTGATGCTGAAGCTGCAACTCCAATACTTTGGCCACCTCATGTGAAGAGTTGACTCATTGGAAAAGACCCTGATGCTGGGAGGGGTTGGGGGCAGGAGGAGAAGGGGATGACAGAGGATGAGATGGCTGGATGGCATCACCAACTCGATGGACATGAATTTGAGTAAACTTCAGGAGTTGGTGACTGATAGGGAGGCCTGGCATGTTCAATTCATGGGGTCGCAAAGAGTTAGATATGACTGAGCGACTGAACTGAACTGAACTGATGGTGATATACATGTTTCAATGCTATTCTCTCAAATCATCCCACCCTCATCTTCTCCCACAGAGTCCAAAATTCTGTTCTTTACATCTGTGTCTCTTTTGCTGTCTCACATATAGGGTCATCATTACCATCTTTCTAAATTCCATATATATGTGTTATTATACTATATTGGTGTTTTTCTTTCTGACTTACTTCATTCTGTTTAATAGGCTCCAGTTTCATCCACCTCATTAGAACCAATTCAAATACATTCTTTTTAATAGCTGAGTAATATTCCATTGTGTATATGTACCACAACTTTCTTATCCATTCATCTGCTGATGGACATCTAGGTTGCTTCCATGTCCTAGCTATTGTAAACAGTGCTGCAATAAACATTGGGATACTTGTGTCTCTTTCAATTCTGGTTTCTTCAGTGTGTATGCCCAGCAGTGGGATTTCTGGGTTGTATGGCAGTTCTATTTCCAGGTTTTTAAGGAATCTCCACACAGTTCTCCATCATAGCTGTACTAGTTTGCATTCCCACCAACAGTGTAAGAGAGTTCCCTTTTCTCCACACCCTCTCCAGCATTTATTGTTTGTAGACTTTTTGATAGCAGCCATTCTGACTGGCATGAGATGGTACCTCATTGTGGTTTTGATTTGCATTTCTCTGATAATGAATGATGTTGAGCATCTTTTCATGTGTTGGTTATCCATCTGTATGTCTTCTTTGGAGAAACGTCTGTTTAGTTCTTTGGCCCATTTTTTGTTTGGGTCATTTATTTTTCTGGAATTGAGTTGCAGGAGCTGCTTGTATATTTTTGAGATTAATTCTTTGCCAGTTGCTTCATTTGCTGTTACTTTCTCCCATTCTGAAGGCTGTCTTTTCACCTTGCTTATAGTTTCCTTCATTGTGCAAAAGCTTTTAAGTTTAATTAGGTCCCATTTGCTTATTTTTGCTTTTATTTCCATTACTCTGGGAGGTGGGTCATAGTGGATCCTGCTGTCATTTATGTCAGAGAGTGTTTTGCCTATGTTCTCCTCTAGGATTTTTATAGTTTCTGGTCTTACATTTATATCTTTAATCAATTTTGAGTTTATTTTTGTATATGGTGTTAGAAAGTATTCGAGTTTCATTCTTTTACAAGTGGTTGACCAGTTTTTCCAGCACCACTTGTTAAAGACATTGTCTTTTCTCCATTGTATATTCTTGCCTCCTTTGTCAAGATAAGGTGGATTTATCTCTGGGCTTTCTAGTTTTGTTCCATTGATCTGTATTTCTGTCTTTGTGCCAGTACCATACTGTCTTGATGACTGTATCTTTGTAGTATAGTCTGAAGTCAGGCAGGTTGATTCCTCCAGTTCCATTCTTCTTTCTCAAGATTGCTCTGGCTATTTGAGGTTTTTTTATTTCCATACAAATTGTGAAATTATTTATTCTAGTTCTCTGAAAAATACTGTTGGTAGCTTGATAGGGATTTCATTGAATCTATAGATTGCTTTGGGTTGTATACTCATTTTCATGATATTGATTCTTCTGATCCATGAACATGGTATATTTCTCCACCTATTTGTGTCATCTTTGATTTCTTTCATCAGTGTTTTATAGTTTTCTATATATAGGTCTTCTGTTTCTTTAGGTAGATTTATTCCTAAGTATTTTATTCTTTTTGTTGCAATGGTGAATGGAATTGTTTCCTTAATTTCTCTTTCTGTTTTCTCATTGTTAGTGTATAGGAACGCAAGGGATTTCTGTGTGTTAATTTTATATCCTGCAACTTTACTATATTCATTCATTAGCTCTGGTAATTTTCTGGTGGTGTCTTTAGGGTTTTCTAATCATTTTCTTATTCCACTGCCCCATATACCCTCCTCCCCCTCCCGGTTTATACATGGCACTACCTGTGACCTACCCCAAATGCCCACCTCTTTCCTCCATATTCTTAGTGCCTTCACACATTACATTCTGCAGTTGGCCCATCTCAGAAGACCCCTGTCTCAACATAAACTCTTTGGGTACACCCTCAGGTCCACCCCAGTTTTCCTTCTCTGGACCTTCTGTGTCAGCAATCTTTCTCTTTCTTGAATCTTTAGTCTGTTCCTCTCTGGTTCATATTGGTTTTACACAGAGCTTTATTCTGGCTTTTAATAGCTACTTTCCCCCTAACAACTGAGGAAACAAGGTGCGTGTTGTCAAGTCTTCTTAAATTTTCACCCATCACCACTGGCTCATTCCTGCCTTCAGTTCTGGGAAGCTTTTGAGGTTAACAGCTCTTTGGGGCTTACAGAGAACTGAAGGGTGCCAACTTCAGGTTGTGCCCCCTTCTGAGGCAGCCTGCCCTCAATGACTGGTTTTCCCAAGAATGTAACCAGTCCAATGACTGGCTGTTACTGGGCACCCTTGGCCCAGTTAAGGACAAACCGGAAGGGCCAGGCCTGCTTCTTGTATGAACTAGTGTCTACACTGCAGCCCATGCCTACCTCTCCACCTAGTCCTGTTTCCTTCATCTCCTTTCTGTATGGATCCTGTAAACATGTGCCCATAAGCTTCCTGCCTGAAAATCTTCCAGTTTGCTTTGCAGGAACTAACCTGCTATATATAGCAGGCTTTTCAAATTTGGGGATAGATCTTGAGCATGGGTGAGAAAGATCAATATTCAGATTGATTTCATTTGCTTGAAACACAGATTCCGGTCTAAGAAGATAAAGCTCCTTGGATCAATGTAAACTTGTATTACATTGTAGCTTAAAAAACTTCTGTAACTTAAAAAACTTCAGTTGTACAAAACAAGATGTGAGAGATTCTGGCATTTATTTGAAAAAGAACTGAGTCATTAATTCTGTATTTCACTCACTCATTCACACAGGAGAGCCTGTTCTGTGCCAGGCACTGTGCTGCACAGTGAGGGTGGGGCAGCAAGATACAACATGAAGGAGACAATAAACAAACACCCAGATTTAGGCTTACAGTCTGTGAGGCAAATATATGGGGGGTAGGGGGGCAGAAATAGAAGATGAAAGGGGGTAGCTCTCAGAATAGGTGACATTAAGTAACAAGAATGACAAGGTACCTGCACCATTTTCAGAGGAAAGGTACTCAGGGGTCTGTGGCGTCAATGCTTCCATCCTCTGCCAAGGGCAGGCCTCCAGTCATTGGAGGAACAGTTTTATGGCATTTGCCTATGGCCTCGCTGTTCAAAGTGTGGTCCAAGAACCAGCACAGGTACCACAGCACACTCCCAATAGAGTTTCCCACTCCTTCCTAGATGTGGGATTAGGATCTGCATTTGACCAGTTCCCAGGTGTATTCCTTTCCTAGGGCTGATGAACAAATTACAAACTTACTGGCTTAAAACAACAAAATTTTCCCATCTTAAAGTTTTGATGTCAGAAGTCTGAAGTGGATCTTACTGGGCTAAGTAAAATCATGATGTTGGTTGAGCTGTGTTCATTTTGATGTTTTAGGGGAGAATCCATTCCTTGCTTTTTTCAGCTTTTAGAGGGTTCCCACATTCCTTAGCTTATGGTCCCTTCTTTCATCTAAAACCAGGGTCATGATAGCATATTCAGATGACTTTCTCTGATTCTGACTTCTGCTTCTAGTTCTGCCATCACATCTTCTTCTGACTCCGACCCCCTTCCACTTGCAAGGAACCATGTGATTACACTTGGACAACCCAAACAACCTCCCATTCTCAAATTCCATAAGTTAACTCATATCAACAAAGTCTCTTTAACCAGAAAAGGTAACATATTCACAGGTTTTGGGGGTTAGTGCATCTTTGGGGGCCACTGCTCTGTCTACTACACCAGATAATTCACATCTGTGTTAAAGTCTGTGTGAAGCCCTGGCCACCTTATTTAAATGGTTTTTCTTTCCTACTTTCCCTGGGTGCTCACATATGGTTGAAACCTTTTAAGTTATAATGCACATATGATAAACTTGTTTTACTTGTTTGCTTGATCCCTGTACATATGCGGTTCTGTGTAGGTTAAAGTAATTCTAATCTTTTACTATTAGACAGGTGTTGCTTGAGGAAGGGGTTGGAGGTTGGGGCACTGTGTGTTATGTCTGGTTCATGTCTTCCTGGATGTCTTAAGTGGTGAAAGCTACTCTGTGTACTGGTGCTGGCTGGAACGTTTGGGAAAGTCCATCTCTGCCAGTTACTAATAGTAAGACCCCAGAGAAGTCATTTATATCACTGACAAAATGGCAGGTCCAACCCCTGTGTCACAGATGGTGTGAGGATATAATGAGATGGAGTAATTTGTCAGGAAGGAACTCTTGTACTCCTGTAAGTCGTTATTTGGTTATCTGTGGAGCTTGCGGAATAAAAGGGACACTCTCAAGAGTCTTTTCCCTCTCAAAATGTGTTGCCCCTGCTTGTGCTGCCCTCATAAGGTCAAGGCTTTTAATTAACTTTGGCATGGATCAGAAGATAAGAAAGGAGAGATGGGTATGCACACCCCTGAAACACATATCTGCCTGTCCCTCATCCCTGAGAAAGAAACCAGTGGGTTATTGTTTACCAAAATCTCGATGCACAGTAGAATCATTTGGAATGGATCTAAAAGGAGACCTACAATCACTCTGTGTCCAGAGACAATGATACACTGAGTCTGGGCAAGATCTAGGCATCTGAATTTTGATAACTCTTTCCAAGTGAATAGAATATGAGTTGTATCCTGACTCAGTAAGATAATATAAACGAGATCCACTAATACAAGTACAGTAAGTGAAACAAAGGAGGGAACAATGCCTCAGAGTCATATACGAATTATGAAGCCGTACTGGACGCTGGATGGAGATCAGGGTACCCTACTTCCAGAGGAACTTGGGCAAAGTCTTCACAGGAGCAAGACCTAAGTGGTGTGGGGACTCAAGGCTACATTACATAAGGAAGAGGGGAAAGCACTGAAGGGGACATGGCTGACTGTCACCCGATGAAATTTATCAGTGAAAACACCAGAAAAGAGAGAGAAAGGAGAGAGACAGCCACATTTCTTTGTGCTTGAAAAGTATTTACTAGGTCACAAAGCCAAATATAATGATGAAAGTAGTAGAGCATGAGATTTTGCTTTCTTTCTTAAGTAAACAGCTTGTAAAATTCCTTTCCATTGAAAATGTTAGCCAGTGGAGAGGTAAGGACCGAAATGCAGCTAGGGTGGCCTAGGCTGGATGCCTTTGTCTGAAGTAACAGAAAGGAATCTTTCTGATTATCTCTGAAGACAGGCAGATCTGGTTTTACTTGGAACTGAAATTCGTCTCTGTCACAGCTGCCAGGCACATTCTGCTCACTTAGGATGTCCCTTTCTTCTCAGAGTCCTACCAGCTCCAGATGTATGGAGAAAATGCCCAGGACCAACAGGACTGTGATTGTGTGTGTGCATGTGCACATGTGCATGTGTGTGCACATGCACACACACAAGATTTGCATAAGTGAAAAACCAACACCTATAAACACTTTTCTATATCCTCACAACCACTCTGTGAGGGAGAAGATTTTTGTTACCTCCATTTAATTATTATTACTATTGTATATAATAATTATTGTTGTTGTTGCTATTTACAAAGGAAGAAATATGCCAAAGAGTATATACAGCTTGAAAATGGCAAGAGCCAGGGTTCAAACTTAGGTTGTCTAACCACAAATCCAAGTTGATCACTGAGATGTAAAAACACAGAGTGGTGGTGAAATTTCTGTTACCTTATTGGCCAATAGCTTGTTCCCCTAGCTCTTCTGCTCAGAGAAGACAACCCAGGACTGGGGTTGCTCAGGTGGGGAGGGGCATGCCCCTCTGGGTACCCATGTAACGGACTGTGCGATCTGCTCTCAGGTAAACTGAGTAGAGATGTGACACCTTCAAGAAAAGAAGAGGCTTGCTCTGCCTCCTCTGCCATTAGTCATGGATCCCAGCACCAGGGAGGGCCCTCTAAATAGGTCGCTGGTCAGGTGGAAGCATGAGGAGGCAGGAAGAGGCAGGCTACATCTGCAAGACTACATTCCCAGAAGACAGCATAGCTATTAATATTGTCATGGCAACAGCCGCAGAAGATGATCCTCGGATTAAAAAGTTACCTCTTCTTGGAGCTATAACCAGCTACAGGCAGTGCTCTCTGAAGGCCATCAGGAAACTGTGAGGAGTTACAGGACTTTGTTACTGGAATATGCCCTCTTACTTTGAAGATGCTGCGGACACTGTGTCTGGCATTCTCCAACTGATACTGTCCTTCTGTGGTGCTCAGTATGAGAGACCCTTCCTCAAGTCAGAGCCTTGAAAGTCACCCTCTCACAACCTCCCCGACACACTGCGTTTACCTATGCGCCTCCCCTCCTCCTTCTCTTTTTTCTCCACCTCTCTTCCTATGTTCTGTATTTATTATGACCATGAAACATTCTAGCTGGAAAACTTGCCTTAACACAGAAGTACCTAAATAAAAAGACTTCATGTCCCTTTTCCCCTACCCCCACCTCTTCACCTGGCTACAGGAGGCAGGGATGTTGTCTGCCCTACTCTCTGCTGATCCTCTCATCCAGCCTAGGGCCGGAGGCACAGGGAGGCCCTCGGTGAGCATCTGTGGAATAAATGAACAAATCGTCATCATCAGGCTGATGTGACCCCTTTATACATACAATCACATGTACAGTATGCTTCTATACATAAATGGGTCCACACCATAGGTACTATATACAAGTTTCTTTAGTTTTTGCTTCATAATATATCTTAGAGGTCTTCCCTTGACCCCTCTATCTAGACCTGCTTCATGCTTTTTCACTGCTGACTAGAGGCACGGTCATTATTTGACCACTTCCATATTGACAGGCATTCAGTTTCCTTCCATTTCTCACTATTTCCAGCCATGAACCTGCACAGGCTGTGGTCCTGGACACCTAAGAAAGGCACCTGCGACAGACTCAATGAATGGAGGGGCTCCTCCTTCTTCTCCCTTTCCTTGAAAACTCGCATTTTTCTTAAAGATAAACTGGACAGAGGAGAAATTCTTTTCCTTGGGAGTGGTGGGGAGTGTCAGCCCTAGGGCTTGTACTTGGCATGCACAGTCCAAGTGCGCATGCACACACACACACACACTCACACACTCACACACACACCCCATCCTATCCTAGCCTGCTCACTAGGGAATTTTGAAACATGAACTGATTAATCTGTCACGTTCTGTGGAAGCATGCTGAACTCAGAGTCCTGAAGTTTGAGTTCTGATACACACTTTGCCACAAAATTGTCTAAAAGTATTGAACAAATGACTCAGTTTTTATGGGGCTCAGCTTCTTTACCTTTAACTGGGGTTGGGGAGTGGATGTGTTACTGTAAGGACACTTTTCACTGCTATCCTTCCAGGGTGAGGCATCGGTTGCTTGCCCTTGACTCCGGGTTGGCTGTGGGAGCCAAGAAATAGGAAACTGATGTTTTGGAAAGAGCAGTCAGCAGTTCTGGGTGAGGTCAGAGCTGGCAGCGTGGTGACCTCTTCCCTGGTCAGCAGATCAGCAGCCAGTTCTCCTTCCTGAGCTGCGGGGCCAGTTGCTCAGCTGACCCCTGGCAAGGGCTCGCTTTTACCCCATGCAGAGGGAAGTCTGGGCATCACCTTGCCCATGGTGTGGTGGCCTATCTACACCTCTGACAGCCTCCTGGCTACATGGCACAGACAGGGATCGGTCCTCCTGGCAAAGCTTTGGGCACTAACCAGAGTGGTGAGGACCAAGGCCCTGAAGTCACCCTCCTGGGCCCAAGCCCTGACCCTGCTGTGCTCTGTCAGTGGTGAGCTGGGGTGACTCAACCAGACCTAGTTTGCTGATCTTTAAGTAGGGGGTGAAGATTAAATGGGGACTTTTCACATGAGCATGAGTTCAGTAAGCATTTATTATTATTAATGTCCATGACAAAAAATAGCTGTTAAAGTAGGTGACCAGTAATGTTCAATGAATAAATAGATAAGTGATGAAAGAACCAGAAATTAAGAGGCTTATACTTGGCTCCCTGCATCAGTCCGGCTCATTCAAATGGAATGACTGTTTCCTAAACTTGTCCTCAGTGGCAACCCTAGCACCTTTGCTAATGGCTTTTCCTCAGTCTGGGATTCTCTTCCCATTTAGGTCTGTCTGTCAAAA